ATGATGACGCATACAATGGACTCCGGACAAGGTGCGCTCCTCTAAGTCTTCCCACGAATATGACCGAGTTGCGAAAACAAGGTCAAATAACTTTTATACAACGAAAGGATACTGTGACCACACAGTCTTCATACCTTCGCTTAATATTATTTTATTTAAAAACATAATAATTCGTATAAAGGCGCGTTCCCATGTCCTTCATTTTCACATCATCCATTAAAACATCCACTTACAGGCATTTAGACTATTTCCATTCGGGATCTACGTTTTGACTTGATCGCCCATTTATTCAATTAATCAACTACTAATTTATCAACTCAACAGCTCAAGTCATCGATCATTCATTAGATCACAAATTCGTTATTATTTTACTTGCTGTATGACTTACAATTAAGTAAGGAAACTGCTACTTTGTTCAGAGAATAACTTACTCACTAATTTATGGACCTATACATACAACCCATTCATTCGCTCACTTATGAGTCCTTAACTAATCCAATAAATCCTCTTCCACCTCAAACATGCGTTGAGCCGAAGCAATCTGTATACTTTGCATGTAGGCTCTATCAGATACTCATTTTATGCTCTACCTATTTGTTCAATCAGCTCACTGCCGGGAATATTAAATAGTTCACCAAATCAATCACAATTAGTCATCATTCACTTATATGCTCTAATTTATTCACTCTCCCTCATACACTTGCTCATTTGCCTAATGAACTTACCCAATCTTTCATTCAGTCAACCTGGTCAGTTCATGGGTTCCTTCATCAATTCCCATTCTCCCTCGCCTTGTTCATCGCTCATTTGCTTTCTAGGCCTATTAACTTTGAACATAAACCTGGGTATACCTCGCCTAAGGACTCTTGTATAACAACTGTTTTATTCTTTTTCATTTGATGTGCTCTCTTCACTTTTCTCACTTACACATCCTATTTTAAGAACTCGTAGAAAACATATCTCGTAAGCGCGCAATTTTTCGTCCGTCTTGCTCTATAGGAACTGGAATGATAACTTGTAAAGTGACCACAACTTGTGTTGCCTCTCGTGAAGGCAATAAAATACACCATCTATCGTAGGACTAGATTGACTTAAGTTGAATCTAGGGTAAGCATAAAAACATGATAAAAGGGCAATGGTTCTTTGCCAGGAGCCAGCAACTCATAATCTTCATGTGTGTCTCTTTGCCCTCACTTCTTACTTCTTGGCAAAGATTAGATTACAGTTTCTCTCAATCCAATACCAGACGAGTTCCATTCCACCCCGCCCAGCCTAAGTTTTGGTTCGCCCACAAATCATTAAACCTCGTTTCAAAGGGCAGTCATGAGTCTTTTAGTTTACATAACATTTTTATTGAAAACAGAACCATGCATGCTTATCATTCTGCCTCCCGAAGTATAGCGATAGAATGAAAATGTTAACCATTGCATGAGTTAGAATGGGAAGGAACAACTAAGATAGGAGACTCGATTCTTATCTATATTTAAAGATCAAGTAACAATAAAAAATCGAAATGATGTTGCCCTAAGTGCGATAATGAGAAAAATTAAATTAAAGACTTTAAGTTGTAGAATATTATATGAACAGTTTATGGATAGTGTATCAAAAGTGTATGCATAGCATAGTTAATATACTAAGCTACAAAGGATTTGATTTGGAACTCAATTATCACGGTTGTGTGCAAAATGGCACAGGCTGTACAAATAGTATAATAAATTAAATTGTAATATAATAAGTATTCACATCGAATTAATAAAATTGTATAACAACAAGGGAATTCAAATTAAATGTCTAATACATTTGAGCTCTCACTTGATTATTTAATGTAAAGCACAAACACAAAATGGTATAATGTAAGATATTTTGACAGCAGATCTTGCCTAATAACTGTATCTACCTTAGTTACTTTAGGGGGATGAGGGACTGGTAGTCACAATTATATGAATATGTCTAATGTTCCATTGCATTTCGCATAATTTTTGAGCTAACTTTCATTTCGAGTGAAAGTGTTGAATAAAGGGATTCGAAGGTCGGTTCCACCAGAAGACGACGGCGGATTTCTCTTGACGAGCTGTCGATTGGCTTTACTGGAACATTCATGCTGACGCTGATTCCGAGTTAATCTTCTTCGATTTCGTTGAAAACGTGGTAAGCTTTCTTCCGTCATATGACGAACATTATCAGAGCAAGGTATCATCATCATAATAAAATTCAAGCAAACGAGCCAAGAAAACTTTTATTTTGATCAAAGAGGCCACATATAGAGTATATATACTGCTTTTTAGGGATTTGCCGGTTAGTTTTCTTGGCTCGTTAGCTTGAATTTAGTTGTGAAGATGATACCTCGCTTTGATGATGACCGTCATATGACGAAGGAAAGCTTAGCACCTTTTTTACTGGAATGGAAGGAGATTTTCTCGGAAACAGAGTCAACATGAATGTTTAAGTAAATCCAATCGACAGATGGTCAAAAGGAATCCGCCGTCGTCTTCTGGTGGAACTGACCTCCGAAGCTTTTCACCAAAACTTTCCCTGGAAATGGAAATAAGCTCAACAATTATGAAACAAGATATTCCTCAAAACC